TCGCCCTGCTGGCTCTTGGCTGTTTTCCATAGGCCTCATGGGAGCCTGTGTTTGGATGGCTTTGCTTCCCATGCGATCTGCGTGGCTCAGGGCAGTGTTGGGCCAGGAGTGGAGCCAGCGGCTGGGAAACGTGTTTGAGCTTTGCGGTCTCTTAGCTAAGGTCTTCCACATTATGGCTTTGTAAACAAATTCCCTGTCCTCCATTTCTCGAAATGGTGACTGTGATTATTTATTGAGGACAGACAGATGGAAACCCACAATGGAGGCTCCTGGCTGCACTACTCATTTTGGCCACCAGTTTAGCGACTCCGGAGGCTGAGATCTGAGGATCAAAGTTCAAAGCCAGTCTGGGCAGGAATATTTGTGAGATTCTCATCTTCAATGAATCACTGAGAAAGCTGACAATGGAGGTGTGGCTTCAGGGGTCACCTTGAGCAGAAAAGCTTAGGGACAGACCCCAGGCCTTGGGTTCAAGCCCCAGGACTGGCACAAAAACAAGCGGAAAAAACTCAAACTCAAAATGAAAACAATGCCCATAAAGTCAGCTCCCCCACCAAATATTCTCATCAGGGGCAAAGAACAAAAGAACCCAAAGTGCTACTCCTTGTGATGGCAGTTACTTTAATGAACTTTCTGGGCTGTCCAGGAGCCATATCCTATGTGGGGATTAATTTATATCCTCAGTAGCTGCAGCTGAGGGAAGCAGAGCCGAAGGCCTGGTGAGCCAAGCAGCTGGATCCTCCCCTGACTCCAGGTGTCTGTTTAATAGATCCATTCCACATCACGACTTTATTAATGCCTTGTCTCCAAGTTGGATCTTTTCTAAAAGCAGGCAGGGTATAAATTAGAAATGAATTCATTTACAAATTGTGAATAAAATATTTGGTCGAAATAGAACAAGTCACATTGATAGGGGAAATAGTGAACTAGGATGTGATTAAAACTTTTTTTAACCTCTTAGCCAAGCATGGTCGTGTATACCTGTAGTCCCAGCTACTGAGGGAGGGGAATTTATGAGTTTGAGGCTAGACAATAACATAAGCAACATAGTGACAATCTGCCATATATATATGTATATACTTGCTGGGTGCTGGTGGCTCACTCCTGTCATCCTAGCTACTCAGAAGGCTGAGATCTGAGGATTGTGGTTCAAAGCCAGCTCAGGCAGGAAAGTCTGTGAGACTCTTTTTTTTTTTTTTTTTTTTGTTGGTCGTGGGCCTGAACTCTGGGCCTGGGCGCTGTCCCTCAGCTCTTCAGCTCAAGGTGAGTGCTCTACCACTTGAGCCACAGCGCCACCTCTGGCTTTTTTTTTTCTGCTTATGTGGTGCTGAGGGATAGAACCCAGGGCCTCAGGCATGCAAGGCAAGCGCGCTACCACTGAGCCACCTTCCCAGCCCCAAGTCTGTGAGACTCTTTATCTTCAATAAACTACTCAGAAAAAGCTGGAAGTGGTGCTGTGGCTCATGTGGTAGAGTGCTAGTTTTGAGTAAAAGAAGCTCATGGACAGCACCCAGGCCTAAAATAAGTGAAAATAAAAAAATTAACCTTTTGGGGCTGGGAAGGTAGCTCAGTGGTAGAGCGCTTGCCTTGCTTGCTCGAGGCCCTGGGTTCGATTCCTCAGCCCCACATAAGCAAAAAGAAAAAAGCCGGAAGTGGCGCTGTGGCTCAAGTGGTAGAGCGCTAGCCTTGAGCTGAAGAGCTGAGGGACAGTGCCCAGGCCCAGAGTTCAGGCCCCAGGACCGTACCAAAAAAAAAAAAATTAACTTTTTTTGTTGGGGTAGCTAGGGGGGAAAGTGGGGGTACGCAGAGAGCCTTGAAATTTCTCATAAGAAGGAGGAGCTAAGAAGCTAGCCACCTGGCAGGCCCTGCTAGGTGTTAGCCAGAGAGAGGAAGATACTTCTTGGTCCCTGGTTTCCTAGGCAGAGACCAACTGAGGCCCACTGCACTCTTATTTTGAAGTTGGACCCTCAGACTGGGGCTTGGAAGGGTTTTCAGTCCTTAGCTAGACCCAACTGGGGCAAGATTGGCCCGTTGCCCATTCCAGCAAATGTCCTTCCTGGTTGGTGGATCAGAAGGAAATTGCTTGCTTCCTTTCTGTTTACCTGGGCTCTCCTTCTCTTTGATGCTGGTCTGGGGTGGACGCCAGCATGGGTGTCTGTCTGGCAGCCACCTTCCTTTTATCTCCGCGGAGGTTCCGGCATGAGAACGCTAAGCTAGGCATCGGGGTGGAAGTATCAGGAGCCCACAGTCTGAGTTGGCAAAAGTCAAACCAGGAGGCAGTCATGTCGACCTTCCAAACGGTGCTTTAGGGGATGAGGTCTGTCTGCTTTCTCACTCACAAACCAGCTGGCCCACAGCCTTCTCTTCCATCCAGAGCAGGTTAATTCCCAGACTCCATCTCTGCAGCTTACGGCCAGGGCCCAGCCGTGGGCACAGGCCTTGGCCTCTGCCGCCTGTGAGTTAGACTCTCGGTGTTGCATTTTACATCCTCCTGACCTCTTTGACCTTTTCTAGACATGGGCCAGACTTGCTGCTGCTGGGTCTTGAACCCCAAAGCAAGGTGGGGGGGGCTGTGGCTGTCACTCCTTGATCACCTCAGTCCAGCCCCTAAACCATCAGAGAAGAATCTCCACAGATTCCACCACAGCCGTGTCCCAGCTGTCTCCAGACTTATGCTCTTTCCTTCTGGATTGTTCTAGGCCATGGCACAGTGACTGGAAAGAACAAGTGTCTTTTACAACAGGAACAGGGAGGGCTAATGAGGCATCCGAGGCGTGTACAGTTGCTTCTGGAACAGGGGAGTCTCGGAGACAGACGAAGTTTATTCTGCATTATGTGTGGACATGAGCTATTGCGGCCAAGGGAATAGCGTTGTGAATAGGATCTGAAATGCCTCTACAAAACCTTGCCTTGAAGGCTTGATTCCCAAAGAAATGGGGCCTTTAGGTGGGTGATTGGGTCGTGAGGATTCTGGCTTTATTGATGGCTTGGTCCGTGGATGGGTTCATGGTTTCCTGGGCTTACTGGGAGCTAGTGGAAGCTTTCAGAGGCGGGGTATAGTTGGAGGAAGGAGATTCTTGGGGCCGTGTCTTTGGGGGGTGTCTCTTGTTCTTACTCCCACCTCTCTCTTTGCTTCCTGGCAGCCACGAATTGAGCAGCTTCATTCCGCCATGCGCCCTCTCCACCATGCGTACATGCACTCTCCTACCCCCCACAGGCCCAGAAACAGCGGGGGCTGACGACCATGGACAGAACCTTCCTCAAACCGTAAGCCAAAACCAATCCTTCCTCCTGACCGTAGCAGGTGTTTTGTTACGGTGACAGAAAGCTAACATAAAGGATCAGAAAATAGTTTTCACCAAGGACAATAATTTTGACCCTGCAACTTCTCTCTGATTGACCACTTTAATGAAAAACAATCATATTGCCCCTAAGGATGAGTGAAGCTGTTTGCCAATAAAACTTTATTTATAGACTCTGAAATTTGCATTTCATCTAATTTTCATTTGTCATGAAATACTCTTGGTGTTCATGATATGCCCTTCTTTCCTTCCTTCCTTCCTTCCTTCCTTCCTTCCTTCCTTCCTTCCTTCCTTCCTTTCTTTCTTTCTTTCTTTCTTCTTTTCTTTCTTTCTCTCTCTCTCTCTTTCTTTCCTTCCTTCCTTGTTTCTTTGTTTCTTTTTTTCTTCTTATTACTTCCTCCCCCTTCCCCTTCTAGTACTGCAGCTTGAATTCAGGGCCTGGGTGTTGTTCCTTAGCCATTTTGCTCGATGCTGATATTCTGCCATTTGAGCCATAGCTCCCCTTCTGGCTTTTTTGCTCTTTAATTGGAGTCTCACAGACTTTCCTGCCCAGGCTGGCTCTGAACTGTGATCTTCAGATCTTAGTGTCCTGGGCAGCTCAGATGATAGATGTGAGCCACTGGCACCTGGCCCCTTTTCATTTTTGATAAACAATTTGAAGCTGTCAAAACCACTTTTAGCTTGTAGCACTCCTAGGAAGTAGTGGGCCGGGGTAGCTGAAACAAGACTTGGTGTGCATAGCAGAGACGCTGGATCTGTCATTCTTGAAGGCTGGGCAGGGCCCGTGGGGGTTGGGAAGGGGAGCAGTGTAAATGGCAGCACACTATATGGCTCTAACCACTAAGCCTCACTTCCTAGTGTTCTTGCAACCAGAATCCAGCCTCCAAAGCCAGAGCTGGGGTGGGGGGGGGGGGTGGGGGGGAGTAAAGGGAGGGGCTGTGTGGCTCCATTGCTGTGCTAATGCTGGGTGCTTAGCATGCTAGACTCTAGAAATAACTCCTCCTATTTTTAACACCCTTGTCCAGCCCAGGGTTTCCAGTTTCACTGTACACATCTCCCAGGGCCCAGAAGTCAAGACTCTCTCCCTCCTCCTTCTCAGTGCCCTCCTAGGAGCCCCCAGACATTGGCTAGGCATCCAAGCACTTGCTATGCAAGGTACAAGAGAAAAAGAGAACAAGGGGGGGGGGAGAGTTTTCTGAGAGCTTTTATTTCAAAACACAGACAGATTCTACCAAGTTAGAAGTGCTTCTCAGGGAGTCCAGAAGCCAATGGGGTGTTGGGTTCACGGAGGACCTTGTACCTTGTTACTCAGAAGGAGAGAGAACTTGGATCTTTATGGAGGCCGTGCCCTGAGCTGGTGAATGAGCACAGGGCATCCCTGGAAAGTTTTAAAAAGGGGGCCGCTGGGAAGGTGGCTCAGTGGTAGATCACTTCCTTGCATGCATGAGGCCCTGGGTTTGAGTCAGCACCACATAAGCAGAAGAAAAAACAAAAGACATCTGGGACCAGGTTGTCCTAGTCAAGTGGACCTGCAGCTCGGACCTACGCCTCGGTGGTGGACGGTGGGGTCCCTCCAGACACCTGCTGGCCCTGGGCTCGTCTGGGCTCAGCTCTTGTGGGACAGACGGGACTGGGGCGGACATCCAGCTCCCACACCCTCCCTGGAACGATCTGGGCCGAAGCTGGGCTTCCGGGAGGCTAATGCTCGGGCTCTGCATCCATGCAGGACTCCCAGGGGTTCTGGGGCATCCGGGGCAGGGAGAAGAGCAGGAGGGCCAGCCCGCCCAGGAAGAGCAGGACGAAGGCCGTGCAGGCACAAGCGAACGACCACGAATAGTAGTAGTGGATCCACACGGTGTCCTCACTGTCGATCATGCGCTTCACCGACTGCCGCAGGACCTCCACCGACACGAAGATGCAGAGTCCTGGGGACCGAGTGGGGTGGGGGTGGGGAGTGAGTGGGGGGTGAGGGGTCTCAGGGGCTCAGCCCTGCCAAGGCCCAGCCCTGCCCCGCTGCACAGGTGGCCCCCTTTCCTCGTCCTGTCCCCCATCCCACGGGACGGTGGCCAGGGAGGGACGGGGTTCTGCCCTAACTGCTCTCTAGGGATTTCCTCTGTGTCCCCGGGCATCATTGTGCAAAATGGACGACCCAGCACGACATCAACACTTCTGCCGCCCGGCCCTGCTGGAGTCAGGTTTTGTCCAGCACAGAGCCCGGCAAGCGGAGACTGGGGACCCCCGGCCCCCCCACTTCCCAGCCAGCCCACCCGCACGGCCCGGCCTACCTGCGAAGGCGTAGAACATGGAGGCCGGCCGCAGCAGGTAATCCCGCTTCTTCCCGAAGGACAGCAGCGCGCAGACCGTGCCCACGATGGCGAAGCCCAGGCTGAAGATGGCGATGGCCGCCGCGGAGATGCTGTACTCTGAAAAACACATCCCCAGGGCCAGGCTGGCGGTGACAGGGCCACGTCCTTGATGCTGTGTCGTACCCTACTGAGAGGCCATGCACGCACTCACTGAGTCACCCCTCGGAAGAGGCCACAGGGTTCCATTACCATCACCGCGGCCCCCACCATTCCCACCACCACCATCACCACCATCACCACCACCATCACCACCATCATTACCATCACCATCATCACCACCACCATCATTACCATCACCACCACCACCACCAACATCATTACCAACACCACCACCACCACCACTGTCCCCACCATCACCACCACCACCATCATCACCACCATCATCATTACCACCACCACTGTCCCCACCATCATCACCACCATCATCATTACCACCACCACCATCACCACCATCACCACCACCACCATCACCACCATCACCATCATCACCACCACCATCATTACCATCACCACCACCACCACCACCATCATTACCACCACCACCACCATCACCGTTATCATTACCATCACCACCATTACCACCATCCCCACCACCACCATCATCACCACCACCACCACCACCATCACCGTTATCATTACCATCACCACCATTACCACCATCCCCACCGCCACCATCACCACCATCACCACCACCATCATTACCACCACCACCACCACCATTGCCATTAACACCATTACCATTACCACAACCACCATCGCCCCCAGCCAGAGCAGGTGCTGTATCCCAATAACAAGTGTGCCTCTGGACTCCAGTGACCTCCCAGCCTCTTTCATAGATAGAGGTCAGTAATGGAGGGAAGGGACATGGCCTCCTTCCAGAACCTTCCCTATAACTGTGAGCATCTGTTCCATTTTCTGTCCCCAGGACTCTGTTGGAAAAACCCAGTCCTACCACATACTTGCCACGCCCCCCTCTGTCCCCAGCCCCACCCCACTGTCAGGACAGTGGCTCCCTGGCTGAGCACCGTGTGACTTCCCACAGCCTCACCCCTCTGGGTGGTGAATTCGAAGATCTCCGAGCTCTCGCCTGGGTTGAAATGCCGGAAGTAGGAGCAGTTCTTCTCTGCGAAGAAGGAGACAGCTTGTGAGTGGGGAGATAGCGCGGGGGGCCTGGGAGAGGGCTGGCCCCATTGGGCACAGGGCGGGGTGGGGGAACTCTGGCTGCTTCTCTTCCCCCAGATTCTGAATCTGGGCCCAGAGTAACATGCTGGCAGGATGAAGCACCTGTCCTGGAAGCGGGGAGCTCCTTGGGGAGCTAAAGCAGAATGAAGCATTGGTCCACAGACAGAAGGTGGAGCCTGAGCCCGTTGAGCAGACTGGAGAAACTGAGGCCCAAGTGGAAGTCCTGCATCAAGGCTACAGGGGCACAAAGTCAGTGGAGACCCAAATGGTGATTCTCTCCCTGGCAAACATCAACCATGCTGGGAGGCCTTTTGGCAGAGAGAAGAGGTATAATAGGTAGAGGCCAGGGGTGATGCTGAACACCCTGTAGCACATGGGTAACCTCCAAAATATCAACAGTCTGAGGTTGTTGGGGTGCACGGGGTACCCCCCAAGTCTAGAGCTATGATTCACTGGCTGACCTGGGTTGCAGCATATTTTAGAAAAGACAGCAGGCGATTCTGAAACTTGTCATGCAGGGGACCCCGCGCGCCAGGGGCTATTTGTGAAGTAGCATGCGTGGACAGAGCCCCTCCGCGGGAGAGGGGTACTGACCGCTGCCCGAGCAGCCTCCAGGACCTGGGCCTGGCTGGCAGCCACCAAGACCGCCTCTGGCAAAGTGAGGACCACCTGAGCACCGAAGCCACAGCCCTGAAGTCACCATGGGCTGGGCTGGGGCTGTGACGGGAGTAGAACAGCGAGAAATGCATGCAGGTGTGAAATATCATTTCGCTTCATTTCCTCTTTCAGCGTCTTTCCCGTAAGCAGACTTGTCTCACAACACCAAAATATAGTCTTATTGTTTGCTGAGTACATTTAGCAGTCTGATTTAGGAGTAAGTAGGCAAGTGGGTTATTTTGCATCGTTGTATGCTTCCTTCAAAGGAAAACTAAATCAGGTTGCTTTGTATTTGTGCGAGGTCCCTCATTGATTTCTTGTTCCTATGGTTCCTTGACCCTCAGTCTGCAAACATCTTGGCTTTTGGTTGAGATGGCATTGGGTTTAGGACTTGACTACTTTTCCTCCAGGGTACACGTGAATGGCCATAAAGAGGCTCACGCCCAGTTTCTTCTGGAAATGTCCCCCCAGGGACTGCCAGCCATGTGGCCTTTGCCTGGAAGATGGCTTCCTTCTTATCTTGCTACATAACTTTGTTTTTGTTCTTGGTGGTTCTGGAGTCTGAAGTCAGAGCCTCACACTTGCTAGGCAGGTGCCCTACCACTTGATCTATAACCCCAGACCTATCTTGCTTTAGTTATTTTTCAGGTAGGGTCTTGTGTTTTCACAGCAGCTGTCCTTAAACCTTGATCCTCCTATCTACAGCCTCCTGTGTAGCTAAGATGACAGCTGTGAACCCCTGCACTGAGCTTATTGGTTGAGATGGGGTAGGGGGGAGGTGTATCTCACTAACTTTTTACTGGGGCTATCCTAAAACTGTGATCCTCCTGCGACTTCTCCACCTTCTGAGAAGGGGAGATTGTAGGCATGAACTACCTCATCTGGTCTCTGGACATTATATTGCCACTTGATCCTTTTGTTTGTCTACCTACCCCCTTTTCCCCCCCTCCAAAGTTGAGGTTGCGCCTCTCCTGAGTTTGAAGAAGGGGGCGATGGCTGAGGATGACATCTGGGTTAGCAACAGTGAATACTGCAGGAGCTACGCATCGTTCTCTGCCAGCTTCTATATTTAAATCATTTTCCTTTTGAATGGAGTTACCTGAGGAACTGACCGCCGGTACTGATGTCAGAGCGCTTGGCTTTTTCCACTCACAGCCTCTGCTGCTATTTTAAAGCATAATATAAACCTCTTCTATTTGTTAGATTATTGGCTTGTAGATTCTCTTGAATTGCTGCTTCAAAATGGCTCGCACTCTGTCATAAGTCCCCCAGGGTCTCCCCTGCACAAAGGAACATTTCTGTTTTCGTTCTTGAAGGGCCAATTTCAGTTGTCATTGAAAACCCTCCAAGAAGAATGGACTGGATTCAAGTGTATTTCACGGTCAGCTGCCTCCCTGACTGCTCGCTCACCTTCTGAGTTAAAAGCCTTCCGAGCGGGGGCTGTGGTCCCGGCCACCCTGACAGCCAGGCCGGCTCGGCTGGTGGCCTTTGCTCGGTTGCTGCGGCAACTCTTGCTCAGGGCGTGTTTGGGGGTCAGAAGCAGCAGCCTCCACTCTGGGCAGATGTGCGTGCTGGCTGTTGGGATACGAGCTGAGCTCACATACAGGGACTGAGCCGAGTCCCCAGGACCGGGCTCCGTGCTCTGGGACAGATGTTCCCCCCACCCCTCCTTGGGACAATATTTCCTTCCCTTTTCTTCTGCTTCTCTGTTGAAGGTCCTCAAATGGGGGCAAGGGAACAGGGAACCCTGTGGATTGGATTCCTTCTCAGGACATGTTGGCTGCTCTCCCACAGGTGGGCCTGAGCTAGATGGGCTGCCCCATATCTTCTCTTGGAGCATCCTTGAGAAACATCTACTCCAGGGTGCACGGCTGCCAGAGGGAAACCACAGGCTCTTCCTGGTCCCTAAGGTACAGTGGGCAGAGCACACTCAGTATCATTCAGGGGAAATTGTGCTGGGCAGTTGCAAGAGTCCCCCAAAGAGAGCACAGGGTCCTGTTAGAGGGACAGACACACTCCGACTTTGCCCTCTTCCCTCTGTCTAGGTCTCTATCGTGCAGGACACTGAGCATCAAGGCCAGCTTGGAGAGGAAGGACGTGTGAGGCAGGCCGGAATGGGTTACTTGGTCCCAGGTAAGGCTCTGGAGGAGGGAGACAGAGACAGTGTGCAGACTGCAGGTTCTGAGCCTCTGTCCCTCCCCCATCCCAGCTCCATCACCCTGGGGCCCAGCTGGGGGCTTGCAGCGCTGCCTTGATGGGCCGCAGTCTCTTCACGGGGCAGAAGCTGGACGTGTTTAGAGCAAGTGTGGGGAGATCCCGATGCCTGGAAGGTGATGCAGGGTGATAGGCAGGCCCTCCAAGTCTTTGTTATCGCTGCAAGTGCTTTACAGGGATTGGAATATTTCTTCTTTTACAAGACTCAGTGGTCTGAAATGGGAGTGGGTTTTACCTTTAAAAATAGATGAGCTCAGCTGGGCGTCAGTGGCTCACACCTGTAATCCTTGTTACTTGGGAGACTGAGATCTGAGGATCACCGTTAAAAGCCATTCCAGGCAGGAAAGTCCATGAGACTCTTATCTCCAATTAATTATCACCAGAAAACCAGAAGTGGGGCTGTGTATGGCTCAAAGTGGTGGAATGCTAGCCTTGAGCAAAAGAGCTCCCTGACAGAGCCCAGGCCCTGAGTTCATAAGTTCAAGCCCCATGATGGGAAAAAAAAAAAAAATTAGCTCAGCTGGGCGTTGGTGGTCCATGCCTGTAATCCGTGCTATTCAGGAGGCTGAGATCCAAGGGTCATGGTTTGAAGTCAGCCTGAAAAAGTCTGTAAGACTCCAATTTCCAGCACCAAGAAAAGGCAGAGGTGGCACTGTGGTTCAAGTGGTAGAGCACTATCCTTGAGTAGAAAAACTCAGGGACAGTGCCTCGGCCCTGAGTTCAAGCCCCAGGATGGCACATGCATGTGTTGTGTGTGTGTGTGCATGCACACACACATACACATACACACACACACACAAACCAGATGAGGTCGTTTCTAGCTGTCAGCTAACTGCAAGTTCTGGCCCAGGGAGTTACTGGTTGTGCAGAACTTTAGGTTCAGAGAATCACATCATAGGGGATGACTCTGGGTTGTCACTAAGAATGGATCAGGGTAGCAAGTACCTGTTGATGGAGAGTTTAATTATATATATATATATATTTATATTTATATGTATATTATATATAATGTATATATAATATATGCATGAATACACATAAACACATGCACATCTCTATCTATCTATCTGTCTGTCTATCTATCTATCTCATTCTCTAGCATTTTGGTTAGCCTGTTGTTTTCTTAACTGTTATTGGCTGTCTCAGGAAGCCACAAGGTTAACATGGTCTCTAATTGTTTTCAACAAGTACCCACTGGGTAGCTGTTCATACTGGATGAGCTCAGAGTCAGATTAAATGATAACAGCTTTACAAGTGGACACTTCCAGGAAATGACCAAAGAAGTCAGACAATGACAATGCTCTGGGTATGGGGCTTTGAAAGAGATCCAGCCTTATTTGGTTCCGTTTAGCAGCTACTAGGCTACTGGTTTTCACTCATTTTCCCTACCAGGATATTGTTTGTAATTTTTTTTTCCAGTCGTGGGGCCTGAACTCTGGACCTGGGTGCTGTCCCTCAGCTCTTCAGCTCAAGACTAGCACCCTACCACTTGAGCCACACACCACTTTCAGCTTTTTCTGCTTATGTGGTGCTGAGGAATTGAACCCAGGGCCTCAGGCATGCAAGGCAAGCGCTTTACCACTGAGCCACCTTCCCAGCCCCCAGGATATTGTTTTTGAGGCTACAAAAGAGCAGGGAGCAGAGGAGATGAGGATCGGGCAAGTTAACACATCATAAGACTCATGATTTCTCTGGGGAGCCGCTCATTTTCTTGGATAGGCACTTGTTGGATTGCTACAAGCATTTGGGTAGTCTTAGAGTTGGATAATTTCCAGTATTCCTCATTGATTTTGTGGAGGAAAGAGTTCAGGGGTTATTTTCCTTTTGTCAGTCATGGGGCTTGAACTCTGGGCCTGGGCACTGTCCCTCAGCTCTTCAGCTCAAGGCTAGAGCTCTACCACATGAGCCACAGCACCACTTTTTCTGGTGGCTCATTGGAGATAAGAGTCTCATGGACTTTCCTGCCCAGGGTGGCTTTGAACTGCCATCCTCAGATCTCAGCCTCCTGAGTAGCTAGGATGACAGGAATGAGCCACCAGTGCCCAGCTTCAGGGGTTCTTACTTTATCCTTCCCCCAATATTACTCAAAGTTAATGTACACAAAGCACATGCTGCAATATATGCCACTTAACAATCCCTTTATGTGTCATGATCACATTGGTCAATTTCATATGAACCTTCTTCTAGAAAAGACAGGTCTCAGGGAGCACTGGAAGAGCAGGTGTAGAATAAAAAGATGACATTTCCAGAGGACAAAACAAAAAAAAGGTAGGGACCTGCTTTGGAAGATGACTGGGGCCAGGCAGGGTTCAATGTCGCAAGTGTAGATAATTTGATTCATGGCAGGACTAGGGCCAGAGAGCAATGAGACAGGCCCAGCTCAGGCTCAAGGCCCAGCCAGGCCTGCCGTTCCCAGAGGCTGGTCCTGCCAGCCTGCCTCATCCCTGCTCACCGACTGGCTCATCAGCTCTGACTTTAAAAGGCGGACGGCTCCAAGAACAGGTGGACAAAACCATAATGTGTGTTCTAGGAGTGGTCTCTGAAGACGCTGCCCTGCCCTGCCCGGCCCAGCCCAGGGAATTGGCTGAATGTTGCCTCTGTTTATAAGTTTGCTGTTAGTGTCCAAAGGCACTGGGCTACCCGATACCCGCCAGGCGCATGCCCGCACCTGCCACGGCCCTCCACCCTGGGAATCAGTGTTTCCAAGTCAGCTGAGTATTCACGGGTCTCTGGGTACCCAGTGTGTGTGGGGGGGGGGGCATGCGGGGGGGTGGAATGGGGGCCAGGGTCTCTTGGAGCGAGTAGCAGGGAAGAAGAGGGACCCGAGCATGCTCAGGACTGTCGTGAACATCAGCGCAGCTGTCACACGGGCCCTCGTCCCCGCCACCTTGGAGTCACATTTGCAAGCCCTGGAAGAAGGGACCTCAGGCTGCTGCCTTGAAGTCTTGTCATTTATGGGGGGGGGGGGGCTGAGATGGGCCTTTCTCAGGGAGCTCTTTGGCAAGGCGGTGGGTGAGGAGAGAGGTAGGTGATCGGAGAGCTCAGCTCTCTGATTCTCTCCCTGGAGCCATGTTGGCCTTCTTTCCCCAAGGTTTCCCACTGGAAAGTCACACCAACACCTGGTCTCCTTGACCAAAGAGCATGCCTGCCGTGTGTGGCTGAGTCGCGTGGAAGGGAACTGGAAGGACGCTCTTCAATGCTGGGGTGAGGAAATGCTGTGGCACTCGAGTGAGCTGAGCTCAGGGAGGCCACACAGGGAGAAGACTCCCCATTCTGCTATCGGCTCCCCACCCCGCCCGGCCCCAGACACCCCTCACTTGTTTCCACGCGTCACTCTAGCTAGCGTGGAATTCTCAGCAGTTAGGACCAGAGGATCGCCGTGCATTGCCATTTGGCGTGTGTCCCTCCCAACTCTGAGTGTTGCTCGTGTTCGTCCTGCTGGGTGTCTGAGGGAGCCCACCGCTCCCGCAGCCCGTCTTGGTGGGGTGACCCTATGGGACCGGGCCAGCAGCGAGTGACCACCAGGGCTGCGGTCCACCTGCACTGTCAGGATCCCCTTCTCCTGCCGGCCCCGCATCTGCCCTGCGTGAGAAGCCTCGCGCGATGGGAGGAGCAGGAGACGGCTGTCCTGTTTCCCACGGCAGCTGGGGCCCCGTCTGCTCCTCTCGGCTCCTTTCTCCACAGAGCCAGGTGTCTGCTCCATGGCGTTCCCGTGGGCAGCTTAGCTGGGGGACTGCACAGGGTGGGAGGTGGGGAGGGAGGAGGTGGGCAGGGGAGGGTACGTTACCCCGTGACAGCATGGCGTGGCCACAGCTCTTGTCCTCCAGGGTGTCCACGGCGACACGCGAGGTGCAAATCCTCCAGAGGCCGAAGTGGGCTGCCTCGCAGGTGACATTGTGCTGCTCCAGGTGAGGGCTTAGTACGGCCCAGTGGTCCGTCACCACGGCCACCGTGGCCAGCACCGTGCCCACCAGGATGCAGAAGAGAGTCACTCGGACCTTTGCTGCTTGGGTCTGGGACATGGTTGGAGGGTGGGTGCTCTGGGCAGGAGCCGCAGGGGCTCCCAGAGCAGGTAGGGCCCAGCTAGGGAGTGGCGGGGGTTATGGGGTTGAGCGTGGATGCTAAGTTTAGTGTGTCTGGCTGAGCCAGAGTGGGCTGGGACTGGGCCCGAGGGACGCTGGGCGGCCTGAGCAGCTGCCCAGACGCGTCAGGGGCCTGAGGGATACTTCTATTAATGCCCGTCCGCAGGCGTGTCACCGAAGATGCCTTCTGCTCAGGTTTCAGGGCTTTCTTCCCATCTTGGGGCCAGAAATACCCCCAGGGTGGGGCACGGAGAGGAGGCTCTGATGATGACTGGAGACATCTGGGGAGTGGAGTCGGGCGTCTGTGGAGGGGGAGCAGCAGACACCAGACCCACCAGGAGTGACATGATGTACCTGCTCTGGGCTGAGACTTAACTGCCCGGGGTGGGCAGGGGATGCTGGGAGCACAGGCTGTGAGGCCTTCTTTGTGTCATGTCTCCAAGGTGGCCAGCCAGGCAGTGGGCAGGTCCTCTGTGGGGCTCAGGAGTGTGCCTGAGGACATCTCAGAGTGGGCCCAGGGCTCTGGAGCCCACCTCCCAGGCAAGTGCTTTACTCGCTAAGCTTCACCTTACTCCCTAAGCCTCACCTCGTCCTTGTGCCCCACCTCCAGGAAGATCCTACCTGCTTTTCAGGCCTGGCCTTGCCCACCGATAACCATGCCAGCATAACACTGCTTGCCTTTCCATTCACACCCTCCCCCTCAAATCCTCATACTACAGCCTAAAGAAAAGCATCTTAATACCTCCTCTCCTCTCCTCCTCTCCTCTCCTCACTTCTTCTCCCCTCCCCTCTCTTCTTCTCTCCTCTCCTCTCTCTATTCTTCTATCTCTTTCTATTTTTACTGTAGAACACAAGCTGGCCTAGATCTTGTGATCTTCCGGCCTCTGCCTCCTGAGTTATGGGGATTTCAGGTATGCACCTTTCTGGATGCTTGCAAACCATTCTTTGGAACTGGGAGGAAAAGTCCCACTGCCCCTATAGCCTCAGTTCCATGTAGTGGCAGGTCTGTTTTGCCTACTGTTTTGCCTACTAATACAGCTTCTCAGTTATATTTTCTTTTACAAAATACAAGCTGGGTACCCAGAGCAGAGAACATAGGAAGGTTTGGGACCCTCTCCCTGATGAGGGTCTGCTTACTCCATGCTCCACCCCCCAAGCTGGTTCTCAGCTTCTAGCTCCTACATCCCTTCCGGATGCTGTCATTTCTTCTGCTTGGGCTCAGCATCCTTCCTGGGGTGTGTTTAAGAAGGATGCGTGATCAGGAATAGATCCCTGAGCTAGGCAGGGTCTTGAGCCTCACCATGTGGGCTTTAAGTCGACAGGTGACAAACAGACTGTGCAGCCTTGGAGATGCAGAATGCAGATGTTAATGCTTCAGTGCCGAGAGCTCCTGGTGCTCCGGACCAGGCACTTGCCTAAGCACAAGCTTTACATGGGATCAACGTTAATCTTTAAACTAATCCATGGAGTGAGTACAACTAGCATTGTGCAGCAGGGAAACGGTGAAGCCAAGTGTCAACCTTCAGCCCAAACTCTGATCCAGCAGCTAGAGCAGAAGAACACCCTTCAAGATCTTTTGTGGCCACAGAGGAATCCACAGCCCAGAGAGAAGACAGGATAAGCCAGGATTAGCTGGGGAGCTGCCATCAGGGCTGAGCTGAGGCCTCCCGCCTGCAGCCTCAGGCTTGTGTTACTAAAGTGCTTTCTGAACTGTCACATTTACAAAACCAGCCGTCCCCCCCCCCCCCCATTCTAATCCCTCAAGAGCTTCTCTCCAAACCTTCCAGCAGGGTTGAGTCATGACAGATGACTGAGTGCTGACTGGTTTGCTGACACCTGCCACCGTCCCCACTCAGCTCAGAGCGATCGCCAGCCTCTGTTCCTGTCCTCTTCATGCACTGCTCTGGGGAGCTGGGGAACCGCACAGCCTTTGAACCCCTGCTCCTGCCCAATTCCATAATCCTAAGGAGTGCTCGGCAGCCTCAAGCAGACCCACTGTGTGTCAGGGCCCACCCCCAAGGCAGCAAGTGGGGAGCCAGAAGTTTCTGGTATTTTTAAGACGGAACACCTATAGAAAGTGATTTTCGTGTTAGAAGTAAAGTGAGGTGCGATGGCTCAAACCTGTCATTTTCGCCGCTTCAGAGATGGAGATTGAAGGAATCATGGCGTGAGGCCAGCTTGGGCAAAAATACCCCCAAAACTGTTCACAAGGCCAATAATAAATTGGGTGTGGTTGGTGGTGTACACCTGTCATCCCAGCTGTGCAGGAAATATAAATAGGAGGACTGTGGTCCAGACTGGACTGAGGAATAGGAAGATCCTATTTGAAAAACGGTGGAAGCAAAAAGGGGTGGAGGTGTGGTAGGGCACCTTCCTAATAAGTGTAAAGTTTTAAAATCAAACCTTACTACTGTCTCACTCACACACACACACACACACACACACACACACACACACACACAGTCAAAGATGGGGTCATTTGAAGAAATGCAAATACAGTTGAATTTCCTGGAAGGGGCTCCCTTTTGCTCTGGACTGGAGCAGGGCACGGTGGAGTAGGGGCCGTGCCGTGGCGGGCCTCAGAGGGCTAAGGCAGCCACAGGGCCCCTTCTGCTGCACGTGCCCTCACCAGTCCTTCACTCCAGCGTGAGAACTCGCATTAAACATGGATGGTCTCCTTTTGAAGTTGTCTTTGTGTAAGCTGGGAGCATGGCTGGCAGCTCGGGCATTTGCAGGCAAGTCTCCTTTCTCTTCCTAGTTTGCTAAATCTCTTCAAACAGAGAGCAGAGATGCCAGGCTTCTTGCGTGCCCCATTCTGGGCCCTGCTGGGGCCAGGAAAGGGGATCAGAAGCCCTGGTCAGGAGCCGTGGGCAGGCTGACCTCCACCCATTCCCAGGGTACCAGTAGGCAGAAGGGCTTCTCCGGCATCTCAGGGAGGCAGCAGAGTGGGCCGGTGCCTGCTGGGGGATGGAGCCAGCGGCCCCAGGATCACACCCTACTTGGCTGCCTTCCAACTGTGTGGCTTCCAGCAGGTCCTGAGCCTCTCTAAGCCGCTCTTTCCTCCCCTGTAAAAGGAGGGCAATGGGCCTGGAGGGAGCAGGGGTGGACAGGGGAGGATTAAGATGACGAGTTTTACCAGTTTAGCCCATGACAGATATTGTGAAGTGAATTGTCCTCTGAAATTCCTGTGTGGAATATCCCAGTAAGATAGTGTTTGGAGATGAAGCCTTTGAAAGGCAATTAGATTTCGACAGATCAGGAGAGTGGGGTCCATGTGAGGGGATTATCGAGAGAGCAGAGTGATGCCTCTCTCTCTTTCTCTCTCTCTCTCTCTCTTCTCCACCATGTGAGGACACAGTAAACTGGGGAAGAGATCTTGCCAGGGATCCCATCATGCAAGAATGCACAGAGACGCATATCTGCTGTTAAGTCATCCCATCCATGGTATTTTGTGGTGGAAGCCTGAGCTAATAAGTTAGCAACTGATCCATGATGCCTGTTACTTTAAGATGTGTACTACAAATGGACTGGTTTTCTCTTAAAGGCAGTAAGCTTCCAGAAAGCAGGGACACCGAGACTCTGTTAGGAGCTCTAAGTCTCCTTCAAGCATCCATCCAGATATAAGACCAGGATAGGTTCTTCATTGCAGGTTATTGAATGACTCTTGGTTGGATGGATAGGTGGAAAAATGAATGGAAAAATGGATGGATGGAGGGATGGACAGATGAACTGAAAGAAGGTGACAGAAGTTCCTGAAGAATGGGAAATGATAGACCTAGGGAAATATAGTTTGGAGACTTATTATTATTTATTGGCTGATTCATGCATTCATCAAAAATTTATTGATCGGGCTGGGAAGGTGGCTCAGTGGTAGAGCGCTTGCCTTGCACGCATGAGGCCCTGGGTTTGATTCCTCAGCACCACATGAGCAAAAAGAAAAAAGCCGGAAGTGGCGCTGTGGCTCAAGTGGTAGAGCGCTAGCCTTGAGCTGAAGAGCTGAGGGACAGCGCCCAGGCCCAGAGTTCAGGCCCCACGACCGGACCCAAAAACAACAACAACAACAACAACAACAACAACAAAATTTATTGATCACCTTAGGGTGAATAACGTAAGACACAAGGTTTTCTCTTGAGGACCCATATCTGGCTTTAATAGAAGTCAGAAGAGAATCTGTCCAGTTTTTCTGTTAGGGTTCTTTGTTACTGCTTTAGTCTCATTGTGTTTTATAGATCTCCATAGATTGCTTTGTCTTCTTGGTTCAGTTTTGGTCAATCATATGTATGTACAAATTTACCTATTTTTTTCTTCTAGATTTTCCAATTTATTGGAATATAAGTTTTCAAAATATTGCCTAATGATTCTTCAGATTTCAGACCCTCCAGCGTTGAGTGGTTTCTGTTCTCTTTCTCTTTCTGCTTTTATTAATTTGGGCCTTCTCCCCCTTCCTTTTGATTAGTTTGGCTAAAGCTTCTTAATCTTGTTTATCTTTTTGAATAACCAACTCTTGTTTCACTAATGCTTTGTTTTTGGTCTCCATTCCATTCATTTCTTCCCTAATCTTTATTATTTCTTTCGATCTATTAAGTATGGGTTTGGCTTGCTTTATTTTTCTTATATGTAATTATAATTGCTATGTCTCCTTAGTGGGATTTTCCCTTTATTAATAGGCACTGAGCTTCTTTATCTAAACTGAGTAATTTGGCTTGAAGTTGGCTTTGCCTGAGAGGTGAGTTTCTGGTAGTAAGCATATAGTTGGATCTTGCTTTAATCCATTAAGCCAGTCAACATCTCTTAATTGGAGTATAAGACCACTTACATTTAGGATCCTAACTTCTCCTTTCCTCGCCTTTGAGGTTTACTGGTTTACTGAGCTTATACTGTTAGATTCTTTCCCAATTCTCATTTGTTCATTTGTTCTCCTAGTGGGACGTGTTCTTTCA